AGAGCCCGGCGCGGGGCTCAAACCCACAAACCGCGAGATCATGACCTAAGCGAAAGTTGGACGCTTAACGGACTAAGCCACCCAGGTGCCCCGTTATTTGTTTATTTTAGAAACTATGTTGACATCATACAACTTTGTATGCTTGTTTTTCACTTAGCTAATTGAATTGTGAATGTCTTCTCTTACCTTTAAATAGCTCCAAAAATGTGATTTTGGGCACTATCTAAATTGCAGCCTGGGGGACTGTATTTAATGTGCATCAACCCTGGGCTTACTGCTGGAAGTTTGGCACATTCCCGGCTTGCTGGCCGATGTACTTTTAGCTGAGAACGATGTCTGGCAAGTAGCAGAAGCTCAGGAAAAAGTTTTGAGAGAATGAACGCAGCTTGAGCCTAGTCGTCCAGGATCACAGGAATTGGCCTAGCAAACATCCTCACACACAAACCTTCACATGGTTTTTAGGAGGATCACATTTATGAGAAGGGAAACATTTATGTTGATGCAGGGAAAAATAAGGGTGCAAAATCACATATATGCTCTAACCTCCAAAGAACAAAACTGTACAGAGAACCATCTGAGAGAAAAGACACCAAAAAATCAACCGGGATTAACGCTGAACATTTGGGTGGTGAAACGTTTTGATTTATTGTGAAAGTTTCCCTAGGGGTGCCTGGGAGGCTCAGTCAGTTAAGTGTCTGACTTCAAGTCATGATCTAGCAGTTTGCAGTTTCGAGCCCCGCGTGGGGTTCTGTGCTGACAGGTCGGAGCCTGGAACCTGCTTCGGATTCTGTGTCTCCCTCTCTCTCTGCCCCTCCCCTGCTTGTGCACTCTCTCTCAAAAATAAATAAACATTTTTTTAAAAAGTTCTTCTGGGGGCGCCTGGGTGGCTTAGTCGGTTAAGCGTCCGACTTTCGCTTAGGTCATGATCTCGCGGTTCGTGGGTTCGAGCCCCGCGTCGGGCTCTGTGCTGACTGCCAGCTCAGAGCCTGGAGCCTGTTTCAGTCTGTGTCTCCCTCTCTCTCTGACCCTCCCCTGCTCACGCTGTCTCTCTCTCTCTCTCTCCTAGAAATAAATAAAAATATTAAAAAAAAAAAAGTTCTGTATTTTCTACAATAGAATAAAACACTTGTATGCAAAGAAGTGGCATGTTTTTTTCTTTCTAAAGTCAGTTTTGCAAATCAAGAATAGGTAAAGTTATGTGTGTTTAGCAGCCATTTATAATGACAGAGGGCCCAAGTTAAAAAGCAAATGCAGCATCAGGCCACATTTAGAGTATTGTGTCCCCCCACCCCTCGGTGTCACATTTGGATATTGCCCAGTGGTGGAGCATCTGGAGGGAATGGCCCACGGGCTCTGGCACTCACAAGGCTGTTAACACTTAAGGGGTCAGGCACACTCGTCCTCCAGCCCAGGATCCAGGGGGAACAAGCAGTTTCTTCTAATCCTGGAAGAGCTGTCACACATCAACGTGAGGATTCACATTTTATGCAGTCACAGAAGAAAAGTTTGGGGAAGGCATATTTTTCCCAGCAAATAAGGAAGACTTTTCTAACAGTCCATATGGTCATAGATGAAAACGTGATGTAGAAGGGAGAGGCCACCAAATGGTGTCTCCCAGGGTCACTGGTTGGCTGTTGCCCTGGGGAAATGACAGAGATGCCTGTCAGTCTCAGGCCCAGGGCCCTGGTGCAGCCACCTCTGGCCTCCTCCAGGAATCTGTCTGCAGCTCCCCCAAACCCATGGTCTCCTGGCAGAAGAGGGTTGGGGTCCTGTGATGCCTCCCTCCCCCTTCACGTGGGCCAGCTTTCTATAGAATCTTTCCCCCATTCCACCGCACCATCTATCCCCTGCTCTTGCTTTACTTTTCTTCCTAACCCTCTCTGAAGGCCACATTTTTTTAAATATTTTTTTTAATGTTTTATTTATTTCAGAGAGACAGAGAGACAGTGTGAGCAGGGGAGGGTCAGAGAGAGAGGGAGACACAGAATCTGAAACAGATTCCAGGCTCTGAGCTGTCAGCACAGAGCCTGACGTGGGGCTCAAACCCATGAGCTGTGAGATCATGACCTGAGCTGAAGTCAGATGCTTAACCGACTGAGCTGCCCAGGCGCCCCAATGAAGGACACATTTTTACTTGGTGAGTCGCCTGCTTCTTTCTGTTCCCTCTCCTAGAGCTGGGGAGTCCTTGCTGTCATGTCACTGTGGACAGACCAGTGTTCAGAGCCCAGACCAGTGCCTAGCACAAAACAGGCCCGTCATGTTTGTTCAATGAATAAACGGTTCTCCGAAGAAACAGACCAGCAGGGCGCCTGGGTGGCTCAAGTGGTTGGGCTTCTGACTCTTGATTCCCTCAGAGGTCATGACTTCATGTTCTTGAAATCAAGCCCTATGCCAGGCTCGGCGTGGACAGCATGGAGTCCGCGTGGGATTCTTTTCCTCTCCCTCCCTCTCTCTGCTCATCTCCTGCTCTCTCTCTCTCCCTCCCTCTCTCAACACAAATAAAAAAACATTTAAAAGAAGAAGAAACAGAGCACAGGGTTCAGACAGCCTTGTGGGAAGAACCTTAAAGGCCGTGGCACATTGACCAGAGGATGAATAAACAAAATGCTGAACACCCATACAATGGAATATTATCAGCCTTAAAGAGGAAGAAAATTCTGGGGCACCTGACTGGATCAGAGGGTGAGGCATCTGACTGTTGCTTGTGGTTCAGGTCATGATCTCACGGTTTAAGTTTGAGCCCCACTTCCGGCTCTACTTGGACAGTGTGGACCCTGCTTAAAACTCTCTCCCTCTCTGCCCCTCCCTGCTTGTGCTCCTCTCTCTCTCAAATTAACTTTAAAATGAAAGAACTGCCCAGTGAAAGTGCTCAAAAATATTTTAAAAATGGCTAAGGTGATAAATTTTGTTGTGTACATTTTACCAAAATAAAATTAATTGTGAGTAATCAGAAGAACGCGGTCTCCCTAAACCAAGGATAGGAAAAAGCGGACAACTGAAAGGGTGAGAAAAAGTACTTGGTAGGTGTCAGCTGATCAGAAAAGGAGCCTCATCGGCTAGAGCGCTATAGCGACCCTAAGACAAGTCCAGCGTGGGAGGTCCCTCTTTCCCTCTAGACTCCGCCCCAAAGATGCCCCACCCCATCCAAGCCCCGCCCCACCCACCCATCTACCCCCGTCCCCAGCCAGGCCCCGCCCCTTCACCGGTCCCCTCCGCCAGGCCCCACCCTTTAGCCGGGCTCTGACCCTCCGCCACTGACAGGCCCCGCCCCTCCGTCCAGACCCCGCCCTCAAAATGACCCACCCCATCTGACAGGGCCGGCTCTCAGCTAGGCCCCGACCCTCCGCCTGGCCCCCTCCGCCAGGTCCCGCCCCAGCTAGGCACTGACACCCCATCTGACAGACCCCGCCCCTCCGCCGGGACCCCTCCGCCAGGCCCCGCCTCCTATCCAAGCTCTGACATCCCCTCTGACAGGCCCCGCTCATCGGCAGGCCTCGCCATTTCGCGGAGACCCTCCGCCAGGCCCCTCCCCACAGCCCGGCTCTGACACCCCCTTATTTACCAGGGCCCGCCCCTATCCAGTCTATGACACCCCCTCTGACAGGCCCCGCCCATCGGCATCCCTCTCTATTCCGCTGTGCCCTCTCCGCCATGCCCTCCCCTCCAGTCCCGTCTAACTCTCAGCCTCTACCAGGCGCCGCCTCTCCGGCCGCATCCCGCCCCTCCGCCGGGCCCCCTCCGTCGGGCCCCGCCCCCTTGCCAGGCTCTGACACCCCCTCTTACAGGCCCCGCCCATCAGCTGTCCCTGCCACCGCCCCAGACGCTCCATCAGGTCCCGCCCCTCCATCTGGCCCCGCCCCGGCGGAAAGCGAGCAGGAAGCTCAGGGGCTCCGCGGACGCGGCGTTCGGAAAGGTGTGGAGGGGGCTCGGGGCACCGGAGTTGGTCCCCCGCCGCCCGCGCTGCCCGCCCGCCCCCAGCTCGGCCCGACTAGGCCAGCCACTCCGGCCCGCGCAGGCCCGCGGCAGCCCCGCCCGAGGGCCGACTCGGGGCTCTACTGCTCTAGTCTGGGGGCGGGGCCGGCGCGCGGCGTCATGCATATGCATGAGCGGCGCGGCGGCTCCATTGTGCCCTCGGAGCGGGCGGCGGCGCGATGGCGCGGGTAGCGGCGGCGGCGGCCCCGGGGCGGCGGGCGGCGCGGAGGGCGGGCTGAGCGCATGGAGCGGTGCGGGCCGGGGGCCGCGGCGGCGAGGGGCCGGGCCGGGCCGGGCGGAGGTGAGCAGGCTGGGTGGGCAGGTGCGGGCTGCGGGGGCGGCAGGTGCGGCAGGTGCGCGCGGCGGGCAGGTGCGGCGCCCCAGGCCCGGCTCTGCGGCGCCTCTGCCTCGGGGCTCCTGCCAGGCTGAGGGCGTCCCCGCCGCCCACCTGACGCCCCTGCCGCGTGCGTGTCGCGGTCTTGGGCCAAGCGGCCCCGTGCGCGCCGGGCGACCCTCACCTGAGCCTTTGTTGGGGCCGGAAGCCGGCCGAGCGCCCGAGGGGTGTGCGCGGCCCCGGCGACCTCCTGCGCGGGAGGGTGACCCCAGCCCTCGCCCCACCTGGCTCCGCCGCCTCCGCGCCGCGCTCTGGCCGGTGGGCTCGCCTTCCGGACTTGCCCTGGGCCGTGCGCGCCCACCATCCGGCGACGTGGGACCCGCGCAGGTCTGCTCCGGGTCGGCGACTCTGGCTGACCTTTCAGCCGCCGGCCGCCGCTTCCGTGGGGACACCCCTTTCCAAACGGGACGCACGAAGCTCAGGCGGGAGGGTGTCGTGCTCCCCTGACCTGCTCCCTTCCTCCTCTTTCCCCCTCTGAGCTGCTCCCAGCCTCCTCCATTCTACCCCCTCATGACCTGCTCCCTCCCTGCCCTGGTCCCCTTTCCCCACAGCCCTGCTCCCCTTTACTCCCCCCGTACCTCCCCCCCACACACACTTGTATTCTCCCTGCCCTGCTCCCCCTTTCCCTCCCACTTGCTTCCCTCCTGCCCTGCTCCCACCTCTGCTTTGCTCTCTTCTTGATAGTTGCAGGACATCTATGGCCATGTCTGTAAGTCGTTTGTTTTATCTCAGAAGATTTCGCAGGGACCTACACAGAACATGTGACTGGATCTGTAAGACGGTGGTGGATGTGGAGAGGGTGAGCACAGACTCCCCCACCAGACCCTGGCTTGCTCGAACCAGGAGCCTCTCCTGAAGAGGTTTGAGGGAGGTGACAGGACTCATGAGGGGGTCTCACCCAGTGGGGTATTGGCCTTGAGGACTTGCCATGCTCAGGGGCTAGTTGTGGGCTGGGGTTAGAAGAATAGAAGTCAGGGAGGAGGAGGAGATGATGAAGGACAGGCAGGATGGCCTAGGGAGGACTCCCAGGGTAGCCAGCCTTCCCCATGGCATGTGCACTAGTCGCTACCCCCACTACAGAGGTCAGGGCTGCTAGCATAAATGCTGTTGTGTCTTTCTCTTTCCTCAGCCCTGGGGTGTCCACAAGGTACCCATTTTATACATTGTAAACCAAAGCTCAGAGTATTGAAACCATGTAGCTGGTCTTTGAGATGTCTGGTGTCCGGGTCATTCATAAATGCTCCTTCCTGGGTGTTTGGACGAACTCTGGCACTTAGCTGGTCAGTGTTGGGGCCTCACACATAGACACCGGAGCACGTGAGACCACACCTCGTGCTGCTGCATTCACTGGAGCCGTCGTTTCTACCTCCTCTGAGCCCATTTGACCCTGGTGTCCCTCGGGTTGGGGACTTGCCCTGGGACCACGAGCTCCCTGCTCTGTGACGGTGGAGTAGGCCTGCCTTCCCGGGGTCAGGTGGCTTGTCATGGGGCGTGCCACCCCTGGGTGACCAGGCAGCGGGGACAGGGTGGATTGGAAAAGGCTGACCCACATTAACGTCTGCTTTTGGTTGGCATGGAGGAGCCTGGGCGCAGCTGCTCTGAGGCCCTGGGGCAGGGGTCCCGAGTGGGGAGTTTTCTGGAGGAAATGTGACCCGACCCTAGAAAGCCGTGGCGCAGAACCAGAACCAGGGTGGTTCTGCCGAGGGGTCCCAGCTTCCTGCTGGCACTGGGGCTCAAGCCCCACAGGCCTGCACCAGCTTTCCCAGCTCTGCCTTTGGAGCCAGGAAGTGGGAGGAGGGTCTGCACTCAGAGGGCGCCTCTCCCTTTGTGGGGAGCAGCAGGTCATGGGGTGCCCCGCTCCAAGTCTCTGGGCCTTCTCAGGGAGGAGAGCAGACTTGGTTTGGCAGGAAGTCACACACACACCCAAGCACCCAGGCGTGCAGGAGGCTCAGGGGGGAACTGGAAACGTCTGTGGTCTTGTCCACAGCAGAGAAGTCTCGGGGGTGGAATTCCCCGGCCCCATGTGATGTAGGAGGCCGCCCGAGGCCCCTGCCCTGCCTCCTCCTCCCCGGCTCGCTGGGGCTCTCAGACTGGGGTCCCCTTGTCAGCAGTGGCCTGACCCTGACCTGCAAGCTCGTTAGAAACAGGAGTCTTCTGGCCCCCGCCCTCCAGGTGAGTGTGATGTGCAGAACTGGAGGCCCTGAACAGTTGTGGGTTGTGAATGGAGCCCCTGTGGCCCTGCGACCCCGTCCCAGGCAGGGGGCAGAGTGGGCCCCGCCAACCCAACCAGCCTGGGCCAGGGGAGGATTGCCGGTGGCTTCTCTATGGGGAGAGCAGGAGGTGGGGGAAGTTTTTCAAGTCAACTTTTATTTTGAGAGAATCCTGGATTCACGTGCAGCTGTGAGAAATCAGCCTGCATCCTTTTCCCGGATTCCCTGGCGGTGACGTCTCACCAGACGATGGCCACATCACACCGGGACGCTCTGGGGATACAGATACAGATAGCTCCTTCCCTACCTTCTTCTGTTTGCACCTGCTTCCCTCCTCCCCACCTGGCACTGCGCTCTGCTCCTTGCTTCTCTGATTTCATCATTTCAGGAACATTACATAAGGGGAATCCTACCGCGTGTAACCCTTGGGGACTGGCTCTTTCCACACGGCGCAATCCTCTGGGGATTCCTGGTTGCTCTTCCTTTTCATGCCCCTGGGCTGCAGATGCCCCGTGGCTGGCTAACTTCACTCGAAGGGCTTCTGGGTGGCCACTCTGGGGCTGCTCGGAGGAAGCTGGTGTCAACATGCACGGACGGGGTTTTCTGTGAACGTGAGTTTGCGTTTCTTGGAGATGAACGTGCGGTCGCCGGGTCGCCCGGCAGCTGCATGCTGACCCTCAGGAGACGCTGCCAGACTGGTATCCAGGGTGGCCGCGCCATTTTCCAGCCCCTCCATCACCTGCCATCCCCAACACTTGGCGGCGTCACTGCTGTAGCCACTCCAGTAGGTGCGTAGCGTGGCCTCCGTGTGGTGTGTGTTTGCACATCCCCGGTGGCTGTGACTTCAGACGTCTGTCTCTCCCTGGGCTGGCATGCAGTCTGGACGACCTCATTGCTGAAGTGTCTCTGTGTCCTCTGCCCATTTTCTAGCTGGGGTGTTTCTTTTTCTTTGCAGTTTTGAGACTTCTTTATATATCCTAGATACTAGTCCTTCGGCAGAGATGCGGCTTGCGGGCAAACCTGTCACTGTGGAGCTGGTCTCAGCAGGGTCTTTTCCAGATGGCATTCCCTCCCTGCCCCCATGAGGATCACACTGGTGTCACATCTAAGGGCTGTATCCTTGGTTCTAGATCTGGAAGAGTTTCTCCAAAGGCTTTACCGTTTTTTGTTGTTAATGTACGTCTGTGGCCGATTTCAAGTTCATTTCTGCACATGTGAAGTTTAGGACTTTTTGGTTTTGCTCATGGGAGCCCCACATGTGGGTTGCAATGCCGTGTTTCCTCCGGCGCCTGGTCTGTGCCCTCTGTGCTCTGTTGCATTGACCTGTTGGCAGGTCCGCCCATCCATATCCACAGTGGCCACATCTCCGCCCTGGAGTTGGACGGTAGGGAGTGGGGACGCTGGCTTGGCCGGGCGGTCTTGGCTCCCTGGATTCCCGGGGCTGCAGCCTTCTGGACCCACTGACTCCTGTTTCCAGAGTGGGACCTGGTTTGGGTGGGGAAGGAGAAGCACGTGTGGAGGGGGAGCAGAGCCAGGTACGAGGCAGACCTGCCAACTATTCCCCCTTCCCTGCCACACCACCCCAGCCCTGGCTCTGCTGTGGCTCCGGGACCCACTTAGCTCATGAGGTACTCAACGGCGGGAAGGGCCGAAGGCAGAGCCACCCGTGTCACAGTCCCCACTATACACTTCTCTGCTCTGGGTCCCTGCTGAGGGGCCTCTAGGGCTACTGACAGGTGACACGATAATGTGGAGGTCCCTGGTCAGCACTCAGGAATGGGTGTGCCTCTATGGTCAGGTCAGGCGGACATAGATGCACAGGGTGGCCCTGGGGGTGCCAGTAAGGGCTTGGCCTTGCTTTTGGGGGTGTCAGGGCATGAGTGCCTAGTTCTCCCTCATTTTTCTGAGACAGCAGTTGGGGGTGGGGGAGTGAGCGTCACACCATAGGAGGACACCCCTTGCACGGGCACATGGGTCCCATGAAAGTTCGCCAGTCACTGCCGCTGTGTTCCCGTTGGCCCCTCGCCATGTCCTTGGGCATGTGCCAGCCCACTGCCCATTGCTCCCTGTGTGTGCACCCTCCCCTTTGGGGACCTCTCAGTGGGTGTCACCATGGCCTGTGGGGGTCCGCTGTGCCTGGCCCTGTGCCCATGTCAGCCCTCGAGGGGCCACCAGCCAGGGGTGCGCAGGTGTCCTGTACTTCCTCCCCCAGGCCAGGATGGAGGGTGTCCGCTGGCTGACCTTGCTCAGCCCTGTTTACCGGAGCCCCCTCCCCAGAGTGGGCAGGCTGTGGAGCCCGAGCAGACGATGGCTGCCGGCTGGGCCCCCTCTGTTCTTCTCCACTGGCTCTGGCCTGGGGCCTTCTTGGGGGATTCTGGCACTTGGGTGCCGGGAGTTCCCTGACTTCTGTGGAGAGCCAAGCCTTCTTGAGGGAGGGTCCTGTGAAAAGGATCTGGGTTCAGAAAGCCTACTCCATTCCAGAGGCTGTGAGTAGCAGGGCCTGGCCAGAAAGGGTTAATGCTGGCCTCCGGGCTGGGTTTGGGGCTGCAGAGGGCAGAGGCTTGTCAGGGTGGGCAATTCAGGATGAGGCTGCCCCCCCATGGTGGCCCTGAAACCCCGGTGTTGCCCTGTCCTCTGTCAGAGCAGAGCAAGGGGGCCTGGCACTGGGGGTTCCTGGCCCCCTGCCAACAGTCCCCGGCCACCCCACCTCCACTGATGTCCTCCTCTGTCCCTGCAGCCAGAGCAGCTGAGTCTCACGTAAACAGCAGCGAGGGCCACTTCCTGCTACCTGCAGACCTGGCCTTAAGGCTGCTCCAAAGCCAATGAACCCCATGCACCCCGTGAAACCCGCCCTGCCCCCAACGCCGCACAGGTGAGTGGAGTTCCTGCTGCCCTCCCTTCTCAGGCCTCAGGTGCAGGTGGGGTGACAGAGCGGGACCTCTCTGCCCCAGGTCGACAGCCTTCCCAGCCAGGGGCCTTGACACCTGTCACCTCCTGACCTGGGTCTCTCCACCCACCTTTCTCCTTGCAGTGATGGTCCATTTCCTTATGAGGCGGTGCCTTGGCAACAGAGTGCCACTCAGCCAGCAGGGTCGCTGTCTGTCGTCACAACCGTGTGGGGCGTCGGCAACGCGGCACAGAGTCAGGTGAGCCTATGGCCCCCGAGAGCCACCAGAGCCCACCTAGACCTCGGACAGGAATGGCGTTGGGCTCCCTGACTCTGCCCCATGCTTGTAGATGCGTCCCTCTCCCACACATGCTATGAGACTTCCTCCTCCGTCTTTGGTCCTCCGCACCCCTGCTCTCTTCCCCTCCTTCCTCCCTCACCTCTGCTCCCAGCCCCTCACTGCCAGGCCTCTCCTTTGGAGCCCTTTAGAGCGACTGCATGAAGTGAGTCATCCACATAGTTCCCACTGGCAATTCTTGCCTCGCAGGTTTTGGGGAACCCCATGGGCCCTGCAGGAAGCCCCCCCGGCAGCTCTGTGATGCCTGGCATGGCAGGCAGCGGGCCTGCCCTGAACTCCCCACAGTGCCTCGGACAGCAGGCATTCGGTGAGGGTGCTGCCAGCAAGAGCTTCGTGCAACAAGGGGTGTATGGCCGCGGGGGCTACCCCGGGGGCCCTGGCTTCGCTGCTGGGTAAGCAGATCCCTTACCCATTAGGTGTGCTGGGACGCCTCTGGGTACGGCGTTGGCAGTCTGGCAGGGGCCTAGGGCTGCATGAGCCAGTCTGTGGAGGGGCTTGTGTGTATTGCTCCCGCAGGCTCCCATAGCTGACACGGGAGCATTAGACAAGAACGGGGCCCCTGCAGGTGCCATGTGGCCCCGGGGCGACAGGCAGGGGTGCGCTTCTGAGCCAAGCCATCTGTGTCTCTCACAGGTATGCGGGCGGCCCCGGGGGGCCAGGGGGCCTGGGTCTGCCCTCACATGCCACGCGACCCTCCACCGATTTTACTCAGGCGGCAGCGGCGGCTGCGGTGGCTGCTGCTGCGGCCACCGCCACGGCCACCGCCACGGCCACCGTGGCTGCCCTCCAGGAGAAGCAGAGCCAGGAGCTGAGCCAGTACGGAGCGGTGAGGGCCAGCCGCTTCTCCTGTGCAGCCCACGTGTGCTGGTCTGGAAGGCAGTGACCAGTGGGGCAGCCTGGGTCGGGGAGTGGGGATGTGCACATAGCAAGATGAGGGATTTGGGGGGCGGTGAGGAGCCATGGGGGCAACTGGGCAGCATCCACAGTGGTGGGGGCGCTGAATGGCTCCTCTCTTCTCTCCCCAGATGGGGGCCGGGCAGGCTTTTAACAGCCAGTTCCTGCAGCATGGAGGTCCCCGGGGACCTAGCGTCCCTGGCAGCATGAACCCTGCCAGCATGGGGGGGCTGCTGGGCCCCTCTGGCATGAACCCCATGGGCATGAACCCCACCCGGGCAGCAGGCATGGCACCCCTCTATGCAGGGCAGCGCCTGCCCCAGCACGGGTACCCTGGGCCTCCGCAGGCGCAGTCACTGCCCCGACAGGGCGTCAAGAGAGCCTACTCCAGTGAGGTGAGCGTCCATTCTTCCCTCAGCCTGAGCTCCGTCCAGAGCCGCGGTGAAGTCGGGCATCGGTGTGACAGAAGCGGCCATGCCTGATGAGGCGGGCACCGCGTCCTCCCTGGGACCTGGTTTCCCTGACACCTGTCCCCCTGGCATTCTGCCTCCTTCAGGTTTATCCAGGGCAGCAGTACCTGCCAGGAAGCCAGTACGGGCCCAGTGCCACCCAGTACACGGCTGGCGCCGGGCAGCCCCCTGCCCCCTCCTCCTACCCTGGGCACCGGCTGCCCCTGCAGCAGGGCGTGGGCCAGTCCCTGTCCGCCTCTGGCCCCGCAGGACTGCACTACAAGGTAAGCCTGGCCCTTCCAGGCCTGCCACAGCCCCTGCTGAGCCCCATGCACTTGGAGACCAAGCAGTCAGGAGCCTCACAGGGGTCCTGATCAGGGCAAGGATCCAGTTCTGAAAGGGCCTTCTGAGATTTGTGTGTCTTGTTGGAGATTGGGTGTAGGGAGCAGTACGCAGGCTCTCAGGTCACTCGAATTCCGTTGAGGAAAAGTGTGTCTTCTCCCTCCACCCACCGTGGAGAAGCCCAGCGAGGCCTGCGGAAGGGGTGGGGGAGGTGTTTCTTCAGCTTCTCTGTGGCTCTCCCAAACCTTTGTGACTTGGGGGGTCATCTCGTTTTCTACAGTAGCTTTTTTTTTTTAATTATGCAAGCAATACATGCTCCCCGCAGATTACATGGAAAACCTCAAAAGCATACAAAGAAAACAGGCCAGTGCCGCGTACGTGGTGGGCTCCCTGCCCCCACCCTGCTCCCTGAGTCAGGCTCAGGGGTCCGGGGGCAGGCAGGCTGGGGTCCCAGGTGCTCACAGTGTTTTCTCCTACAGCCCGCAGAGCAGTTCAATGGGCAGGGTGCCAGCTTCAACGGGGGAAGCGTCAGCTACAGCCAGTCCGGCCTGAGTGGGGTACGGGCACATGGGCGGGCGGCTCCCAGGGCGGGAACGTGGAGAGGGCACCCAAGCAGCAGGAAGTGTGGATGGCCAGCCAAATAGCCCTGGAGCTGCCCCCTGCCCATTTCTGTTGTGACTGGTCTCAGCGGGTGCTTCGAAAACAAACTCCGCCCCCCACCATCCTGGCTTGACTGTTTGCTCAACCCCACAGCCTACCCGTTCCATCCCTGGCTACCCCAGCTCCCCACTGCCTGGGAGCCCCACACCACCCATGACCCCCGGCAGCAGCGTCCCCTACATGGCCACCAGCCAGGAGGTCAAGTCTCCCTTCCTGCCGGACCTCAAGCCCAGCGTGAGCTCCTTGCACCCATCCCCCCCTGGTGAGTGTCACCTGCTCTCAGGACGTTTGGGCAGGGGTCCCAGGACTCCGGAGTCCTGCAGGGAATGTGGAGGGTAGGGGGACCTTTAATTTTCTCTTTTAGTCCTAGAACTCTGTGCACATCTTTTCAAGGTGTGGGTCTTCTCCCTAGAAAAATACCCATGCACACAAAGTTCTGTGTATAATTCCAGGGGATTTATGAGCCTCCTGAGGTCCACTCCTGGTTAAGAGCCCCCTGCTCTGGGGGAAACCACCACGCAGAAGCTGGGGTCCTAGAACCCTAGCTCAAGCACAAGGGTGATGGGGGGTGTCTGTTTACACACCTCTTAAGCCTCGCACCCCTTCTGAAAGCACAGGAGCACCCTCTCTCTGGGTTGGGGGCATGTTCTCCAGTCATAAGGGGACACGGGGCCAGGTGATGGAGGCAGGACAGAGCAGTGAGACACCAAGATCCTGTTTCTGTTGGGGGTGATGGCTGGGCTCAGGGCCCCCAGGGAAGATTCCGCCAGCACCAGCCAGAGGCGGGGGAGGCGGGGAAAGTGGGACCGGGGCCCTGCTGTGGGGGTGACCGGCTCACAGGACGGTGGCCTGCTCCTAGGCAGCGGCTCTGGTGATGAGCTGCGGCTGACCTTCCCTGTGCGGGACGGGGTGGTCCTGGAGCCCTTCCGCCTGCAGCACAACCTAGCTGTGAGCAACCACGCCTTCCAGCTCCGGGACTCGGTCTACAAGACCCTGATGCTGAGGTGAGCGACCTGCACCCTGTCTAGCTGTGCAGCCCTTGTGGGAGGCCCGCAGCCCTTGTGGGAGGCCTGGCTCCACCTAAGGCCCCTCCTCAGTGGCTCTGCCTTGCAGTGAGGCTCCGCCCCACATTGTGGCCCCACCCCTGCCCTTCAATGTACCCGCCCCCTCTGCCATGTAGCCCTGCCCCACCCCACAAGGTGCTCCCCCACCCTCCGTGAAGCCCCAGTTCACAGCACCTGCTCAGAGGCCCGTCCCCCGCAGGCCAGACCTAGAGCTGCAGTTCAAGTGCTATCACCACGAGGATCGGCAGACCAACACCAACTGGCCGGCATCGGTGCAGGTCAGCGTCAATGCCACCCCGCTCACCATCGAGCGCGGTGACAATAAGACGTCCCACAAGCCGCTGTACCTGAAGCATGTGTGTCAGCCCGGCCGCAATACCATCCAGATCACGGTCACGGCCTGCTGCTGCGTGAGTGCCTCATGGGCCACAGGTCTGGCTGTACCTGTCCTCCACTCCCCACCCCACCCCCTGACCAAGAGAGGGACCTCCCTGTTCCCTGGTGAGGCCTTGCTCACTGGGGCCTGGCGCTGTGGCTGACCCTATATGGGGCAGTGGGCCAGTCCTTCCCGAGGCGGGGGGCTGACCCTGAAACCTCCCCAGCTGGGGGCTCCAGGCAGGCCCAGGCCCGTCATGGACACCAGGGTGCCGTTCACAGGGTGCACGGGGGGCTCTCGGAGATGGGGCTCTGACCAGCAGTGGACAGCTAGTACAGGATGTGGGAGTATAGGCAGCCCCGACGGGAGGACCCCGGCCACGGCCCCTGACCCACCTCCCCCTCCGCAGTCCCACCTGTTCGTGCTGCAGCTGGTGCACCGGCCGTCCGTCCGCTCAGTGCTGCAGGGCCTGCTCAGGAAGCGCCTCCTGCCGGCCGAACACTGCATCACCAAGAGTGAGTGACCAGCTGGTGACCAGCCACCACACAGCACGTCCCCACCTCTGACACGGCTGGGGGCTCTGGGGGCAGTGGCTGGCCCGGCTTGTGACCCACCACAGGGCAGGTCCCCACATCCAACGCGACCGGGGGCCCTGGGGGGTGGGGGCAGCAGCCAGGCTGGCTGGTGGCCCCTCACTCCAGTCCTCTCCCTGTCCTGCCAGTAAAGCGCAACTTCAGCAGCGGCACCATCCCCGGCACCCCTGGGCCCAACGGAGAGGATGGGGTGGAGCAGACGGCCATCAAGGTGTCCCTCAAGTGCCCCATCACCTTCCGCAGAATCCAGCTCCCTGCCCGAGGTCACGACTGTCGCCACATACAGGTGGGTGTTCTCAAACTTGTGATGTGGGATGGTTTTCAGTCGACCCTCCACCAGCAGGTGACCGTACAGTGGGTGGGTGGGCAGGCTGTGCGGGCCGCTCCTGTGCTGAGTGCTTAGCATGGTGACCCATGCGAACCTGGCTCATGTGGCTTCTCAACACATATGTACCTCAGCCCGAGGTCGCGCGGCTTGATCGCGGGGTGCGGCCTGGTTGCGCCCGGCCCCCGTGCAAGAAGCCATTTCTCCTGCTCCCACAGTGTTTCGACCTGGAGTCCTACCTGCAGCTCAACTGTGAGCGTGGGACGTGGCGGTGCCCCGTGTGCAAGTGAGTGCCTCAGACAGTCCTCCCGGGATCCCAGGCACGGGCACCAAGGAGACCCCAGGTTTAAGGGGACACAGCGCAGATGTGCGGATCAGGGCCAGACCTCATGCACAGTCAGTTCGTGCACCGTCATCTCTCATAGAATTGCTTTATGTGGGATCACCTCACGCGGGGCCCCTTCATGCCGTGTGGCCTCAGGCAGAGTGACAAAGCCAAGAAGTGTGCCCGAGGCCGCTGAGCCACATGCCTTTGGTTTCCTACAGCAAGACGGCACTGCTGGAGGGCTTGGAGGTGGACCAGTACATGCTGGGCATCCTCATTTACATCCAGAAGTAAGTGTCTCTGTGCTGCCCGCCCACCTCAGGGCAGGGCGATTCATCCAACCCGAGTCAGCTGCCCACAGGTTCCATGCCACCCGCAGGGTGGTCACAGGCGTTTGAGCAGGAGGTCTGCTTAGAAGCAGGCCCGGGGTCTGGGAGCGGTGGCAGGGACAGGCAGTGACCAGCCACATGTCCCTGCCCAGCTCTGACTACGAGGAGATCACCATCGACCCCACGTGTAGCTGGAAGCCGGTTCCTGTGAAGCCCGACACTCACGTCAAGGAGGAGCCGGATGGGCCAGTGCTGAAGCGATGTCGCACCGTGAGCCCCGCACACGTGCTCATGCCCAGCGTGATGGAGATGATAGCGGCGCTGGGCCCCGCCGCTGCCCCTTTCGCTCCCCTGCAACCCTCCTCGGCCCCGGCCCCTGGGGACTACCCCGGCCAGGGTGAGTGCTGTGGGCCAGTGATCCGCGCGCTCCAGACCAGTGTGCTGCGGGCCCTGTGCCTGGGGGGACTCCTAGGGACCTGGTGGGGTAGGTACAGCTGTGCCATGGGGACTGGCAGCAGGACCAGCAGTGGGGAGCGGGGCCTCTCAGCTAGAACGCTGCTGGGGCCCGCCCCATGGCCCCCACGTGTGGGCATGCCTGGGTGAAGCCGTCTCCCCCATGAAGAAGAGAAATGCTGTTTCTTGTAAAACCCAGAGCTGCCTGCAGGAGGGCACTGGGAGCCTGGGCCACTGGCCTGCTCCCCCGGCCGCCCCACCAGCACCAGCCCTCAGGCCTCACAAGAAACGGGCTCTGCTCTTAGGTTCCAGCTTCCTGGGACCCGGGACCTTCCTTGAGTCCTTCCCGCCCGGCACGCCCAGCACCCCAGCCCTTCCTGAGTTCGCCCCAGGGCCACCCCCCGGTTCCTACCAGGCCGACATTCCCAGCAGCCTCCTGACACCGGAGAAGTCTGCCCCCTGCCTCCCAGGCCAGGTCAGTGCCTTCTGTGGGGTGGAGAGCTGATTCCAGGGGCCCCCGGGGCCATTCTACCTGGTTCTTGTCTCCTTCCCCAGATGACGCCAGCGGGTCACCTGGACCCAGCACACAACCCAGGGCCTCCTGGGCTGCTTGCCCCCAGCCTTGGAGGGCCCCCAGGGCCCCAGCTGCACCATCCAAATCCTCCCCCAGCATCCCGGCAGCCCCTGGGCCCAGTGAGTTCGGGCCCCATCGGCGAGCTGGCCTTCAATGCTACCACAGGTGTGATGGGGCCCCCCATGTCCGGAGCGGGGGAGGCCTCGGAACCAGCCCTGGACGTGAGTATAGGTCCCATGCCAGGGAGCACGTGGGAGCTGGGGCTGGGGACGGCGTGTCCATAGTCCCCAGGGTCCACATTGCATCATAGAAGGGAGGGTCCTGACACCCCAGTGACTTCGAAGCCAGGACAACTGGTCAGATAGTGGCAGCTCTTTCCATGGTGAGCGGCAGGCACCTGAGTAGCCATGGGGTGACTGTGCAGGCAGTTGGCTACGGGGACCGTGCAGAGTCCTCAGGAAGATTGGGCTTGCAGATGACCACACCGGTTTGGTGTAAATCAGTGTGTAAACTGCAAGTAATGGTCTTCCTGGTAAACCAAACTCCCTGAAGTTCAATGGGAGAAAAAGCTCAAAGCCAAAAATCCCAGATGCTGGAAATCCCACTTCCTGCGTTTGCCCCGTTCACATCGGGGACCCCGCATGGCCCCGTACCTGCCCCCTAGGGCAGGCCCTTGTGTCCCAGGCTGTCCTTGGATAGTGTGTGTAGAGCGAGTCCTGGTCAAAGAGCAGCCTTCAGCAGGGAGAGGCCTTGTGCAGGCTGAGGGTGCTCAGGCACAGGGTCCCGTGCAGGGGTGTGGTGGACCTCAGGCCAGAGCTGCTGATGGCTTTGCTTTGTCCCCAGCTGCTCCCAGAACTGACCAACCCCGAGGAACTGCTGTCCTACCTGGGCCCACCTGATCTCCCCACAAACAGCAATGATGACCTGCTCTCTCTGTTTGAGAACAACTGATCCTGTTGCCCCCACCCAGCTGGTGGGGACATGCCCGCAGATGTCACCACGCCTTGCCCCTCCCCACCCGGCCCCCTGGACCTCAGAGGCAGCTGTGCTGGGTGGAAGGGGACCTCGGGCACCCCACCCCCGCTCTCTGCACTGCTCAGCCCCGCCCCGTCCACCACTGCCACCCCTGACCCTCGCTGGGCCCCGCTCTGCCCCGTCCATATACACCTGCATCCCGGATCTCGCGCCTCGCCCCAGCCCCAACCCCAACCCCGCCTGCTCCCGCCAGCCTGCATCCTGTCCGGCGTTGACCCTTCTGTTTCAGTGACCCCATGGCTCACTGGCGAGGAGCCAGGCTGCCCTGTCCTGAGCCTGAGCTCGCAGTGGGGGTGGGTCCCTCTTCCCACCCGAAGCTTCAGGCGAGGGCCCTGGGGTGGGGCCCCAAAGCACAACAATGTACATACTGTAGAGACACTGAGCTGTGGGCGGCAGGTCCCTCCCGCCCTCCTGGGTGCAGACGGTGGGCGGGGGGGGGGGGGCGGCCACAAGCCTTGTCCCCTGGGGTGGGCACTCACACCCAGTCTGTGCAGACTCTCCAGCGGGCTGCTCCCCAGGGCCCTTTTCCGTGAACGTGAAGAATCGGTCCCACTGTGTTTTTTAGAACTGCCTCTCCCATGTCCACCCCGGGGCCAGGCCAGGTGGGGGAGGGGGCCTCTGTACCCCTGGCCCCAGGCCGAGTTGTGTCCCCTGTGTGCCCGTCTCTATTAAAGGACTCCTCGTGGTGGGCCTGGCCAGTCCCTCCTTCGTGCACGACCATGTCCCTCCCGTGGGCGGGTCTCCACTCCAAGCCGCGACCTGGCTGTTCCTGCCTCGCGGTAAATTTCCTTGTCCCTGGAATTTTCCAAGTTGGCTTCAGCTGGAGAACTATTTTGTGAGGTGTCACCAGGGCCAGGAGACACATCTGCCACCATGTCACGGTGCTTGTGCGTGCCTGAGGCAGGGAGCCAGGGGTCTGGGGAGAGGCTGAGACTGAAGGCCTGGCTGACCTTAGACACCAGCCCCAGGTGGCCCGTGGAGGGTGACCCTGGGCTCCTGGGTCTGCAAGGCCCTTCTGTCTGTGTGCCGGCTGCCTGGCTGGTCGGCTGCCTGGCTGGCCCTTTCCTTCCCGCCCCTAGGGTCTCCCTGTACAGCAGGCCTGAGCCCTGTGGTTGGGGAAAGGGGGAGCCAAGGGGTACTGGAAGCTCATGTGGGACGTGTCCCAGCCCCAGGCCGCTTTAGCCATTGGCATCTTGGGACCCACAGTGGGGGCCTTAGCTCTGCCTGCAGCCTGTTCCTGGCTGAGGGAATAGGAGCACGACCCCAAGTGGCAGCATCTGACAGTGCTGTCCCTCTGGGGGTGCATTGAGCAGGGTGGTGCTGGGCAGAACGGAGAATCCAGAGCTGAGCTGCAAGTGGCTCGGGGTGGGCGGGGCCGGACGTGGACTCCCCTCAACGACGTGGGGTGACAACAAGGTCCAAACGTTCACACAGTACATGCCATCTTCACAAAGCACGACACCAAATCCTGTTCACAGGATTCCTATGTATGTGATATGGTTCCGGGGGAAAGCGAGGGCTCACTGGCCAGTGCTTCCTGGGTGAAGAGGGAAGGGAGAGCGCCGACCTCATCCTCCAGCAGAGTGGCAGCTGCCTGTCCCCTGTACTTCATCATGTCCTTGTGTCTGCCACACGTGCAGTGTGAAAACAAGCTGGCGGGACTCAATGGACACGGGGACCCCTCCCCCCAGCTCCTCTCAAGTGCCTGGGGACACTCTGTCTGAGGCCATAGGACACGTCTCCATCACTTAAAGAGACTGAAATCCTATGAGGTGCCTTCTCCGAGCCCAGCAGGACAAGGCTATGTGTCACCAACAGGGTTCGGGGGGTTGGGGGGGACACTAGCCTTCCAGGGAACAGCAGCAAGCCAGAGGTCAGACAGCCGCTGCAGCCCAAGGGGCAGAGGAGGCATCGGGGGCAGAGCTACAAAGTACTTGGAGGCCAAGCAGGCATGAAGAGGCAACAGCGAAAGCGGCTTCCGAATGGAATTTGCTAGCTGCGAACAGCTCTCCACACCCCAATCCACACATGAAGAAACTTCTAGAAACCAGTCCAAAGCTGCAGACAGGAGGAAATCAAGGCCCGGGCCGAGGAGGCCGGAAAAACAGGCAAGGGTCCGGGTACATGCGTGTCTCTGAGAAGAGTCAGGATGAGCTGACGTGGAGTCTGACCGAGTGACTGAGGTCAGCAGTGGGGCCAGAGACTGCCGCCAACGTCACAGAGAGAAGACTGACTGACTGCCAAGTGCACGAGTCCCCGGTGGCATGGGGACTACAGAGTGGGCGCTCCAGCAAGGACACAGGGCCTCTGGTCAAACCCCCTACATACAAGGGGGTCCCAATGCAGCTCAGTGGGTTAGGAGACATTGCAGGACTCTTCCCCCATCTTCACCTGTGGGAGCCCCCTCCCTGCAGTGCGCCCCCACCTCACCCCCTCCCAAGCTGGGCCAGCCATAGGGACCCTGATGGGCATGGTGAGAGGAGCCAGGACACCAGGGACCCTGTTGAAGGGAGGGTCCAAGGACAGGATCACTTTTTTTTGTCTACTTTTGAGGTTGGGAATCACTGGCTGCTTGCCCAGTCTAGTTTTTAAAGTTGGTGTGCGTGAATTGCCCAGATGCTAAGTGCAGTGGGCTCCTTGAGGTGACACAGCGTCACTGTCTCTGTCCTGCACAGCCACCCACCCGCCACTACCATGCCTCTGTCAGTGGACATTGGCTTGGTGTGGCCTTGGGCCTGTGAGAGGGTTCAGGGGGCTGCACCCTCTTGTTAGCTGCCAGGCACCCAGGCTGATGCCTCCTGGGCTGTGACAGGTGGGGGGTGTGAGCTGACCCTCCTCCCAACCTCCACACCTTGGCTCCTCCGGCTGGGCCCCGTTCCACTCAAACCTTTTCCGAGTGCGTTTGCCATGGCTTAGGCTGCGAGTGATCGGGACCAGCTTGGAAGGGAAGGATGCAAGCTAGCCATCCTGAAAGGGCCACCAAGTGCCGTGGGGACAGCCGGACTCGTGCAGGCACAGCGCCGGAACGGACTGTCCCCTTGGAGAGTCCCGTTCTGCAGAGCGGCGGCTGCTGGGGAGCAGAGGCCTGCCTTTCCAAGCCCTGCTCTCTCCGGCACCCCACAAGGCCCCGGCCACCTGCTTTGCAGTGGGGTGGGCTCTGGCTGGCCTGGCTAGGGGATCACAACCAGGGCGGGGTCAGGAACGCTCCCTGACACTGGGAACAAGTACCAGAAGTACCACAGCCTCTCCCAACCTGCACCTGCCACCCAGACTGCCAGCCAGAGACATACAGGCTTCTCATCCTACCAAATGCAAGCTCTGCCTGCCTTGCCCCTGCCCCAGGGACACCTGTTTCCAGAACAAGTTGGGGCGCCTGCTGTGGCCGCTGCTCTCCCCATGGCTGCCTTTGCAGCTGATCAATCACAGACAACTCGATAGTGATCATTTCCTGATGCTTTATTTAAAAAATTTTTAACGTTTTTATTTTTTTGAGAGAGAGAGAGCATGTGCACATGGAAGTGGGGAGGGGCAGAGAGAGAGGGAGACACAGAATCTGAAGCAGGCTCCAGGCTCTGAGCTGTCAGCACAGAGCCCGACGCGGGGCTTGAGCCCATGAGCCATGAGATTATGACCTGAGCAGAAGTTGGATGTGTAACCGACTGACCCGCCCAGGCACCCCCTGATGTCTTATTTAAAAACACTCCCACCTTTGCTAAGTTAAACAGCACACCGAGTACCCACACAGCCCTCAGGTTTGGTGACTGTCAGCATTTTGCACCCTGCTTTCCTACCCCCGTCTTTCCCACGTAGCTGCATCTTTTACATGCACACGGTTAGTCACTGCCAACTTTGGGAAGTCAGTTGCAGACGAACTCTTGGTCCCTCAGCACCTCAGCCTGCATCTTGGAAAAACAAGAATGTTCCCTTATGTGAGCACGTTGGTCCACACGCCAGGGTGAGCTGCAGCCCCACAGTGACGTCTCGATATCCCAATGCCTTTTACAGTTTCTAACAACCGAGACTCAGCCAAGGCTCACATTTTTTGTCTGGTGACTGTGTCTACACTCTCTCCAAGAGAGAAGAGTCCTTGGCTTTTTTCCCTCATGCTGATGTTCCGAACAATTTGGGTGAGTTGCCTCACGGAAAGGCCCACATTCACCTGGACGTGTGGTCCTGGCAACGCTCACTTTGTCCTTTGCCCCGTGTGTCCTGTTGGCTCAAAGGGACGTCTACAGCTTGCCTGAATGCTCTTAGTCAAACAAGCCTTGGATTTTTTTTTTAATGTTTTTTATTTATTTCTGAGAGAGAGACAGCGTGAGCAGGGGAGGGTCAGAGGGAAAGGGAGACACAGAATCCGAAGCAGGCTCCAGGCTCTGAGCTAGCTGTCAGCACAGAGCCCGATGTGGGGCTCGAACCCACAAACTGTGAGATCTTGACCTGAGCCGAAGTCAGACCCTTAACTGACTGAGCCACCCAGGTACCCCAGACAAGCCTTGGATTTTAAGTGTCCTTCCTCAAGACCATGAGTTCCAATGGGGGTGAGGACCAACTTTTGTGTCCAGGTTTATCCCAAAGCCAGCAACGTTTGTCCAAGAGATTAAGCAGGGGTGAGGCCGTGGTGCCCAGGAATAGGCCCAGGGCCAGCTAAGCACCCCGCACCCCGGCTGCTGCCCGCTTATGTCTCTCCAGCCAGCCTGCTGCTGTCTGGCTGAGGCCCTGTGCCCTGCAGGTGCGCCTTAGGATGGCCGGCGGGCGTCCAGTGAGCATCTGTCCCCATGGGGACTGGGGGCAGGGTGATCCCTGGTGGCCAGGGTCCCAGCACGGGCCCGCACTAGGAGCCCCTCCAATAGCATGGGAAATCTCTGTACGAAGCTTCCATTCAGTTTTGCTGTAAACCTACAACTTCTAAAAACTGTCTATTTACAAAAGTTTCTTAAAAAGTTGGCATTTTACATATTATGTGTAAATACCAAATACAAATTCTTAATTATTGTCGTTGACTTTATTTTTTATTTTTTAACATTTATTCGTTTTTGAGTGTGAGCAGAGGAGGAGCAGAAAGAGAGAGGGAGACACAGAATCTGAAGCAGGCTCCAGGCTCTGTGCTGTCAGCACAGAGCTCGACGTGGGGCTCGAACCCACATACCTCGAGATCATGACCTGAGCCAGAGCTGAGCATTTAACCCACTGAGCCACCCAGGTGCCCCGTCACTGACTTTAAAACAAGCAAAATGGCCTAAACAGGTGGGAAACAGGAAGGACCCCTGTAAGCACGTGTATGCCCTGCCCACGTGGGTCCCCCAGGGGCTGAGGCCTGGGCTGCCAGCAGGTGCAGGGCCATTTGGAAGACCGTGGCCCTGGGTGGCATCCTTCCGGACGCTGGGGCCACATAGGCTCCTTAGTTCCTGCCCATTTTCTGAGCCTGCAACCCCAGCCCTCCCACTGAGCTGAGTGTGACTGGATCAGCCTAACTCAGCCAGAGCTGGTTTCCGCTGGTATGTAAACACAATTTTTGGCTAGTAGATACGTGTTTTTTAAAGTTCATTCATTTATTTTGGGGGAGGGGCAGAGAGAGAGGGAGAGAGAGAGAGAGAGAGAGAGAGAGAATCCCAAGCAGCCTCCACTGTGAGCACAGAGCCCGACATGGGGCTCAAACCCACGAACTGTGAGATCATGACCTGAGCTGAGAT